GTACAGTTTATACTTATTCAGTTTTAAGTATTTATTTATATTTTTGGTGTGACACACAAAACTTGCCATTTTGATCTTCTGTTCAAAAATCTTTAGTGACTCTTCAATGCATGTCATCAAGCTCAACCAAAGCAAGAAGAAAGATTCTCTTTTTGGAAAAAAGAATTCCTTCCTGGATTCCTTTCTGTTTTCTCACCCTTCCTGAAAACAGCGCACAAAAATGAGCAATGCAAGAGTACTTAATAAGGCAAAGGAAAGTAGATGGAAAAATGATGAGAGTTAGAAATCTAAAATAAAGGCATGTTCAAGCAAGAGCACCTTATTAAAGAGCTTCTACACTTGCTAATGATTGTTAAAATGTGGCTCTCAGTTTCCTAGAAACCCTAGCAAAGACAGAAAAATGCTACCATTTGTATGATTCATAATTCCTATAAGATGCTTTTTTGTTTGCTAATGAGAAGCGTTATAAGAACGCCTGAAATTTATTTTGTAGAAGAGAAACAGAATCTTAAGTGGTGGTATTTTATTTGGAGACCCCACAAGCAGGGAAGCAGGGAGGTACATGGAGTCCATGGACAAGGAAATCAAACAGGGTGGGAGGAAGCTACAGTGAAAGAGGATCCAAACATAAAACAGACCTTGTCTCCACTCAGTCTGGGATCATTATCCTGATGGAGTTCCCTCTGCCTATTTTTCTGCCCAAACCCTGTGCTTTCTGGAACTGAAATTAATGGGGAAAAAGGCTTAGGAAAGAAAAAAGGCTTGACTTTTAATTTAAAGAGGATTGAGACCTGAGCTGTTTTTAAGGTTCACACTTGAAGAAGGAAAATCACAACTGTCAGGAGAAGAATCCATTAAAGCAAAAGTTTGGGCCACTTATCAAGTCAGGCAGTAAATGTTTTTGGGCCCCAGAAGTGGCTTCATAAGATTAAAGATGGCCCTGGGGTTAGGCACCAGCAGGCTCAGTTCCCTAGTGCCAGCTGATAACTTCTACAAAAAGTTACAAACAAAAAGCTAATATTACCAAACATTACCAAAGCCATTCTTCCTTTTTTTCAACCACCTAAGAAGAAGATAGCTTCTTCTCCTTAGTCTAAGGAAGTATCAAACAGAACAAGAAAACAAATTTGGTAGGTATCTGATTGCCTGGAAAGAACTGGCTGCTGTCTACTAAACTGTGAGCCACTATTTCCCAAAGAACAAGCTAGGGAACCTGCCTCTCCACTGAGGACCTGGTTCACTGTTTCTCATCTTGAGTTAACCCATCCCACACTGACAGCCCTTTCTGCAAGGAAGGCCTGTAAGAGGTGGTTACATTTCTACCATTTCTAAAATCAAGACTAAGGTTTTTTTTTTTTTTTCAGCCTACCTCACAGTTCACAAAGAACTATATGTATCTCCATGAGGGCTGTATCATCCTTGCATTAAACCCTCTGTGTGACTGTCTTCTAGCTGGACTGTGAGATCCTTAAAACAGAAACTTGTCTTACTCTTCCTGGCACAAAGCTTAGGTACATAATTAACATAAATTAAATAAATGAGAGAACCTAGAAAAATGTACTGAGCATTTCTCTCTGTGGTTTACCATTTCTCTACCACTCTTGCTCTCCTGGACTTTCAAAATCCTGAATTATTCCTCAGCCTGGGCCGGTAGAATTTCATATCTCAATTCTCTGGATCTTGACATTGCACCTGCCTCCAAATTGCCTTTGATTATGTTAGCCAAAGTTAGTACCTTAAGTTTCCAGCCAAGATTAGTGGTAGATTCATACAATAGCAAAGATCAAGCTGAATTAGCAAACTCCACTTAAATAAAGCTAAATAAACAAAAATGAAATGATCAGTATAGTCTGACAAAAGTCTTAAAGTGTAAGATATTTTATTTTGCCATAAACATTACTGAGGAACTCTTTTTCCTCTTAATATGCTGTGGAAATTAACCAAAGTCCACCAATTCTACAGCCTATGGGAGTCTAAAGCCCTCTGGTTTCTAAAATTTCCCCATGGCATTTGTAGTCTCCTGCCATCCTATTCTTTTGGGGTGCTCATTCTTGCAATAGTCACTCTTTCCCTCAAGCCACAGTTACCCAGGCAGCTATGACAGTCACCTTCTAATCTGAACACACACATGCACAGGTGCATACTAACATAAAATATTTATGAGAGAAACATTTAACTTTTTTATTTCTTAGTTGCCAAGCACTGCAAAATGAGGATAATGGTATGACTTCAGAGGATTGTTTTTAAAACCAAATTGGATAATACAGGCCAAATTTATGGCCCATAATGATCACATACCCTCAATACAGATTCAACAGCAAATTAAAAGCCAATCTGGAACTCTTACTAAAGGACTGGGTCCCAAGAGAGGGCGACACACAAATCATTTTAAACACATATACAATGATTAGTATTTAGCCTAACAGTTGAGATGTTTGCTAAGATACCTGTGTTCTACACTGGAGTGCCTCCATTCCTGATTCCAGCTTCCTGTTAAATACAGACTGCAGATGGTGGCAGGGTACAGTGATGGCCTGAGTAGCTGGGTTTCTGCCATCTACATGGGAAGCCTGCCTCCCTAGCCACTGTAGGCATTTGTGGAGTAAACCAGTAGATGAGAGCAGTATATCTCCTCTCTTGCTTTCTTTCTCTCAGAAACACACTCATATAAATACAAAGTTTTAATTAAATAAATCTATATAAATCATGGAAAAAAGACATAAGAAAACTATTCAACCTAGCTTCTCTTAGAGCCCTGCAGATGACCAATCTCTGGATGCTTTGTCCTTTCTCAAGCAGAGCAAGGCAGTATGTCTGTGTCTGCTCCCTTCTCTAAACTTCTCCCTCTCCCGTTCGTTTAGATTCTCATGTTCAGAGCAAGTGCCATGAAAGAATTTCTCTCCTGTGTCAGGGAACCAGGCATTTGATTCTCAACTTACATAGGTGTTTTCCCATGAGAAAACATCCTCTTCCTGAAAAATTTCAGATTCCTGTTCTACAAAAGGTAAAATGTCATCTATTTGCTCACCCTAGAACTTTGGTTTCTGAACCCTGGTCATCTACATAGTATACCTGATTGTTTTTGCACTCATTCATCAATGAGCATTTTTAAATTACAAACATTTTATATTATTGGATTTTTACATTGTAAGTCAACTTTCTTTGAAAGAAAATTTTTATTTCGCTATTACAAGTAGCAAAACAGTATTGCTGTGATAAGAAGAAAACCTTAAATCTAAGACTTTGTAACAAAAGAAAGTCAGTGGGATCAACTAAATTCATGACATTTTGCTAATGATAAATCATAACTTGATAAATCATAAATCATAACTTGTATCCTTTATTATGGATACAGGGAAGCTAAAAAGAAATGAGTGAAAAGTCAGTGACATTTGCCTATTACTAATATCATGGATAGAGTGGGGGAGTAAGTGGGAATGAACATATGCTGATGGGATTTGATGAGAAAACTGACAGAGGGGATGGTCCAGAGACAGAATTCTGGGGCATGTTATCATCCTGTATCCCGCACTTCTGTTCCACAGCACCCAAGAGAATCACTAATGCTCATTTAATTGAATTGTATTCTGTCATTAGGATGTAACACTGCTATAAACAAATGCTTAAAAGCTATAAATGTTATGTATCATAATATCTAAATTACCCACAAAAAGAACATTTTAGCCAACCCATCCAGTGTGAAACAGTGTTTGGAACTTAAAACAATTTCATAATGTATTGCAATTGATACTATTCACCCTGGCCTTTTAATCAACAACAACAAAAAATAAAGTTGAGTTTCTCTGGATTTCAGCAGGCTTTCTCTGTGCAAATAGTTTCACAACCCTTTAAAGGAAAATTAAATATATGCCTCTAGACTAAAAACCTATGTTAAAGTTCTGGTCTAGGCAGCAAGCCAGTACATTTGGTAAATAGCAAAAACCATAACACATTCTATTATGGTATAAATTTTTTGTTAAATATACAATGTCTGTATACCTAGGTGTGGCAATGTATAGATATATGAAACACAGCCATGACTACTAATTATAGTAAGTAACCACCATGTAGAATGGATGATTCAAAGCCTCATGAGACAAATTCTACCTTCAATGAGCTCTTTAGGTGGAGTGATAGTACATCATTGCAACTCAAGTCACATTGCACTCAAATTCTGTCAAGTTTTTTGGCAGCTCCCTTTTGTCATATGTTCTTACTATACAAAGCAAAGAGGCACAGAGCGGCTGATCTATATCTGAAACATACTTCTTTACAGGTCTCAGGGGAAAGGAAAGTAGCTCCCTGTGATCCTGTGATTGTACCAGGAATGCCTTTTTTTCTTTATAGAATGTCCTCCAATTCCTGGTATCTGTGGATAATTGTCAGAATCAAATGTCCATTCACACCATTTAACATAACTGAATATGCTCATCTTTGTACCATTTGCCAAGTAAAATGAATCAAGCCTTTAAGAAAAAAAAAAAAGAGAGAGAGAGAGAGAAAAAAAAAAAACTTCCCTAGGAATCATGCTATTGTTTCACTTTAAAGGTTTTCAGGAAGTTACAGGGAAAAAAGAATGAATGCCTACAAATGTCACAGAATCCTATGACCTGGTTGAAAAAAAAAGTGGACAAAGTGGAATCTATCCTGCAGTTTCTTGAGCTGATATCTGGAGTTGAGATGTGTAGACACAGATTCTAAGGCCAGTTTACATCAATGCATCTTCCTTCCCATTAACATTTATGTCCATTTATTTTCAAAAGGCATCTCAATAATGCAGATTTTTAGTATAGATAGTTGGAAACATTTATATCATAGTTAGTACTTAAAAAGAAATGACAAAGCACTGACAGTTACATACCAGACACATGATTATATATGAAACATCAAATAAAAGCCCATCCACTAACTTTGTAATTTTGCTATAACAGGTTTTCCAGAGGCTGCGTAATACAAATGTTTATAATTTAGAGTACAATATATTAAAAAATGTACCATACCTCACATTAGCATCAAGTTTGTCCATTACAGGAAATAGGCATGGGTGAATTGTATGTCAATACCCACAGGGTCCTACAGTAGAAGAATAAAAAGAAGTCAAACAGTAAAATAACACATGAAATTAATTCTGTATTAAAGGAAAATATTCCAAATAATCAATACCATCTTTTTATTAACACATTTATAGAAATATTTAACATTTTAATAAAGTGGCATATTAAAGTATGATATAGCTAAGTGTTGTTAAAATTTCTTTACATTCTATTATCATCTGACCATTAAAATATCTGCATAATTCTTTTACTTTATATGAATCCATTTAAATGCATAAACACAATTTACTTCAGTGATCTACTTTAGAACATTAGCTAATGAAAATAGGTATCTACATTCTTATTAAATTTGTACAGTGTCTAAAATGATCATGTTTTGTTTGCTTGAATTTTTTCCTAAGTCATTTTGAAGGTGAGTTATCAAGGATCCCTTTGAAAATCTACAAGCTCTTGAGAACTTTTCGTTCTCCTCCCCCAACAAAATAGATATGCATGCACAAACATACACACACGTGTGTGGGTGCACATACACACACACACACACACACTTTTTCTAGGGAGCCCATGGTTCCCTAGAAACACAGAATAAGAAATCCTGATCAAAGGAATTGGGGGTTGGGGATAGGAAAGGTGGGAAGGAGGGTTAAGTGAGAGGAAATAGGAGAAGAAAAAGGAGAGAAGAAAGGGAGGAAGGAAAGAAAAACAAAAGAAAGGAAAGCAGGAAACAAGAAAAAGAAAATGAGCAAGGGGAAAGAAGGGAAGGAAACTCAACTACTAAAAGTTCCTTTATTACAGACCCCCCCAAAGTCTTTACAGCTTTTATTGCAAAGGAAATTTGTTTTTCATCACACTGTTCTACAACATGGCAAATTAGAAAACATAGGGGCAGAGCCTGGCTGTCCCTTGCAGAACTACCCTGAGCAAATCCTTTATTATTCTGAGTATCTGAGTAAATGGTGGGGCTCAAAAATGAAAATAAATGGGAAAGATTGGGAGGGATCATCTGTCGTTTTATTCGGCTCTGACAGTGTTATTTCATATACTGCCTTTCTAATTGAATCTTATAACAAAAAGAAACTCTAAATCTGTTTATCTATATAACAGAGCCACGAAATTCAGCCTGGGCCCTTGGATACCACAGCTAGGGGCAGAAGCTGGCAGCCAGGAAAAGAGTGGCAGACCACCACAGCTGGAAAGGGCATAATAGACACTCTGTGCTTTTCAATGTTTGTATTTTAAAGCCTTCCAAGCATTTCTAGGAAGGGGGAAAGTGTAATTTCAAGCAAAATAGTTTTGTTTATTTTTATCTAACTTATTATTTGAATTTAGAATGCTATTCTAAGTATCAAAGTGAGAGGGCTAGATTCTGTTTCGTTCTCCATCTAAAATTCATTTCTTGTTTCCAACGCAAAACCTGCTCCTCTCCCAGGGTTCACTACCTCAGGAGATGGTTCCACCATTTTTGGTTATTCAAACAAACCAAAAAAACACATCTTTTTTTTCTCATTATATACAACCAAACCTTCAGAAATTCCATTCTATTTTAAAAATTATTCCTTAATTTAGCCTTTCCCATTTCTCCCAGAATCATTCCAAATCAACTCTTTCCCTGAAATATTACCAGAAATCCCTAACTGGTATTCTTGCTCCTACTATCACTTCTTTCTCTCACAGAAACCAGAATGACATTTTTTAACTGTTATCAAATAACATCTTTCATAGATCAAATCTAGGGGCTTCCTGATATACTTAGAATAAAATTCAGACTCTTTATCATGGCTAATCAGATCAGAGAGGTGAACGGACTTAATAGTCTCACAGCTAGCACCTGACCAACCTGAGAATAGAAACCTGGGCTGTCAATTCAAAGCTTAAGATTTATGTTGCACACTTCTTGTCTTAATACCCACTTTCTCCCACTGGAACAAGCAAATCTCCAGATGAAAGTGGACCTTTACCGTATTTTCTTTGACCATCTATTCCATCTTTCTCTGAGAATAGTGTTTTGATTTCCTTTGATGAGCCAGCCCCACGTAATCTGGCTCCAACTCCTCTTCAAACTCCACTTAGTTATATCCCACCTCACCACTGCCCCTCTCACTGGTAATGTTGCTTCCCTTTTATCCTTAAAGTATACTGTCATCTTAAGGTCTCTTCCTTTCTCTTTTCTCCCTAGATATTATCATGTACGTTGCTCCCTGACTACTATGTGTACCCTTAAAAAAAAAACAGAAACATTTTTTTTCTTACTTTTATTTAAAAGGCAGAGTGCCAGGACAGAAGGGGAGAAAGAGGAAAGGTGGTAGGGAGGGAGAAAGGGGAAGAGAGGAAGAGATCTTCATCTGCTGGTTGACTCCTCGACTGGCCACAATGGTTGGAGCTAGGTGGGTCTGGAGTCAAGAGACAGCAGCTTCTTCTGGGTCTCTCATGTGGGAGCAGAGGCCCAAAGCCATTTGCCACTGCTTTCCTGATACATTAGCAGGGAGTTGGATCAGAAATGGAACAGCCAGGACTTGAACTGACACCCATATTGGATGCCAGTGCCACAGGCAATGGATTTACATGCAACAAGGCACAAGCCTCTCTCTCACTTCATTAAGGATGCTGTTCAGATACCACTTGTATGGTGAAATCTTCTCTCACCCACGAAATTTTAGAAATGTCTATTCTCTTTATCTGCTGTTTGATCATAATGCATACCTTTTATCTAGTCAATTGTTTATTATGATCTATCTCCCTCACTAAAATATGTGCTTCTAAAAGAAATTGGACACTCTTAATCACTGTCATATCCTCAGAGTCAAGAACAATGTCTTTATATATATTTTTCCATCAACTAAATAGTTAATGTTTTTGTAAATGAGGAAACTGTGGCTTAGGAGTTTATGTTTCAACCACTGCAGAGAACAGTATAAAAACAATAAAACAGAGGAACCCAAATCATTTCACTCTAACTACCCTTTACTAAGCAGGAGAAAAAGGCAGACATTGTGCTTGGATTTCCTCCTCCAAATTCTGAGTCATTAATTCTTTTCTCTAGATGAAGAAGTTTCATTCAGAAGGGTTAACTGGCTTGCCAAAGTCACATGTTAGCATTTGACTAATCTAGGAATAGAATCCAGGCTATGATTGGTTCCAGTGTCATCTTGCATAGTTCTTATTTTATCACAGTTTCACTCACCGTATCAGGGGAGTCCATTTGTTATGTTTTTTCTAATGACTATCAATTCTATTTTTTCTATCACAGCACTGCTTTTTTTTCCCACTTTGGAACCACTCCTTTCTTGTCCTAATCTCTACCACCAGTACTAACCACATGAGCAGCACTAGACACTCAAAACAATCCATTCGTAACCACAGCATATCACTGACTCATTGCTTAGACCAGCCAAAGAGTCCAGGAATTCTTAATGGAAAAACAATCTCATTCCTCTGGTTTTACTTAAATAGTTTAATGCTGTTGGTGGTCATCATTGCCACTTCACAGAAAAAGCCTGAGAATTAAACTAATCCAAAGAAAAACAGACTTGGAATAAAAAGAATGCCAATGTCTTGATTATGTAATTTAAGGGTAAAAATCCAAAAGCATCTAAAGACAATTTTACACTTGATTTTCCCAATTACATGAACCAACAAATTCCAGTTTTTCCTCCTGAAGCCAGCATGAACTAAGTTTAGCCATTATTTGCAACCAAAAGAATCCTGGGTAATACATAAGAAAAATCCATATTCTGTTGGTATACAGATCAGAAGAAAAAGATGGAACTAGGAAAATCCATTAAAAATTAAATAAAACTGGTCTTGTTAAAATTGTATCGGAAAACAAGACAATCCAAGGGAGAATGTTAACCCTAACCCACTCACAGCAACATATACTACTTTATGCTGTTCATTGAAACCCAATATACAACATTTTTTTAAGATTTATTTATTTATTGGAAAGTCAGATATACAGAGAGGAGGAGAGACAGAGGGGAAGATCTTCCATCCGATGATTCACTCCCCAAGTGAGTGCTAGGACCGATGCTATGCCCATCTGAAGCCAGGATCCAGAAACTTCTTCCAGGTCTCCCACAAGGGTGCAGGGTCCCAAAGCTTTGGGCCGTCCTCGACTGCCTTCCCAGGCCACAAGCAGGGAGCTGGATGGGAAGTGGAGCTGCTGGGATTAGAACCAGCGCTGATATGGGATCCTGGCGCATTCAAGGCGAGGACTTTAGCCACTAGGCCACGCCGCCAGGCCCCAATATACAACATTTTTAAAAACACTAGTGAGACAGTATGCATTTTGTTGGAGAGGAATGAAAAATAACAAAAGAAGAGTAAGTAATTTGAATCTATCTAAAATTGGTTAATCAATTATAGTCCACCCTTCTCTGTCATTGGTGCTCAACAGGGCTAACCTACCAGAGTCATGACCACAGAGATGTCTACTGTTTGGAAGACTGCAGAAGGTAAGATGCATATGAAAGCATTCAGTGCTCGTACACTGCAAATTTATGCATCTGGTCCTTAAAAACCACTACCTACTCAATGAAAACCACAATCAACCCAGCATCTCCTATGCTTACATACAGCTATGTAATTTCTAGAAACTTTGCCAATTCAAGATAAAATCTTGAATACACATGTGTGCTTTAAAGATGGACATACTGAATTCTATTTATCTGTTGTAGAAGTAAAACAATAGTCACATCTAACTCATATTTATTTGATTTCTCCTTTTTAGATACATATAGGAGGATCTTTCCTTAGACAGTATGAGGAGATTTTTTTTAATGTCACACAATACTGATTCAAATTCTCAGTTCTCTGATAAATAAATTCTAAAAAAATAAAGAGTAAATTCCAAACTGTGAGGCACACTCCAAACTTAAATTGATTCTTAACCAGAATGCTTTGAAATATTGCTGGGGAACAGTCATTAATGGCTAACAAAAGCTGTGTGGTTGCATCTTTATTATAAGAAATGTGTGCATAGGGCCTACCTGTAAATAGCCCCCACCTATCGGAATGAAATAT